CTTTAAATGTTATGAAATATGAATATAAATGTATTCACATTACTTTTTGTACAAAAGTTTTTATTAACCCCAATAATCTTTAATTTTATTTTATATTAGTCTTGGTTCCTAGTTCCTGGTTCCGGTGCCGGTTCCGGTTCCAAACTATAGGAACCGGAACCGCACAATAACGATTCCAAAAATTTGGAACCGAAACCTACCTATTGACGATTGGTTCTGGGTAAGAACCGGAACCAAACCCAGAGTACCCGCCGATTCCGGTTCTAACCGGTTCTTTTGAACACCCCTAGTGGGCAGGTATGAATTTGTCAATGGACCATTTTTCGGGTGGGAAGTTGTCGTTAACTCATTGATTGCTTATCTAAGACTTGTACCATTAAACTTGGAAATAACAGCGATGTGATTAGTTATTTTGACTAAAAGAATCAATGTATATAATTGGAGTATTAACAATATGATTGCACAAGGTAATAGAATTCAAAATGAGTTTCTCTTCTCTAAACAAATTTGTTGTTAGAGTAAAATTTATGAAAATTATTAGTTTTTTATATAAAAAACATAAAAGAGTTTTCTAATATTAATTTACCAAAAAGGTTTTAACATTAAATAATAAATTAAGTCAAATTTATAAAATATAATAGAGATTTTTTTTAAGTTTCAATACTTTAAATAAGTTAAAAAAAAAAAAAAAAAAAAAAGCTTAATTTGAGCTTCTATCACAAACCATAAATAGTTTATACTGTATATTTAAAATTCTATTCAAACAACTTTAAAATTTTTCAAAAGCACTTATTGTTTAAGATAAGTTATTCTGACCAATGGATGAGCCAATCAAACAAGCTCTTACTTTGTTCCTTAAATTTTTTTTTTTTTATTGGAGATTGGATGCCAATTTAATTCCTGAGACCATTTTCATCTTCTTTCCTATATTTTTGAAGCTTTTTTTTTTAATAATTTAATATTATAAAACTTTTTTTCCATTTTTATAGGCAAATAGCTAGCAAATTTCATAAAATCTATTGAATAAAATTTAGCAAATGAACCATAAATGAGTTAAAAATATATATATCAATTAAGCTAGGTCACTTTTTAAAACTTTTCATTTGAAACTTCTAAAACAAAATTTGAAATATGATATTATAAAAAGAATCAAGGAAAACATTATTTTTATTATATCAAATGAAACTGTATCTAAAAACCCGCTAAAGAAATCACATTTAGTTATAGGCCGAACGACTTATACCTACCCAAGGTTTGGTAAAACGACAGATTGGTATCCAAAAGGTTTCAAAATGACAAACAGGCCTAGTTAGTAAATACGGGTACGGCAAAAAAACGGTACGGGAATTTTACGGGTATAATACGACAAATGATGAAAAATATGTTTATAAAAATTCGGTCATAAAATTCGGGTACGAAAAAAATACTATACGGGTATATACGGGTTTAATACGGTGCATTATCAATAATACGTTTTGAAAAATATGGCAATATCAATCTTAGTTTTAATACTTTTATGGATTACTTGGTTAAATAAGTTTATTCTTTGTGTTAAATAACCTTAAAGAAGGTTAAATAATAATTATTATAAAAAAAAACTGATATTCAAATTGTAGGTTTTATACTCAAACACAATATTTAGCCAATGATTCTTTACTAATTTAAAACTTGATAAGTTTGATATTAAATGCAACCAATTTTAACTTCCCATTAATCTATTAAATTATATTAAATCAATAACTAAAATTTTGTATCACAAATCTATATAAAATATTAGTGTTACAATACCCATAATATATGACTTTAATTGTTTATCATTTATTTATTTATTTTGATTCAATAAAAGTTAAGACTACTGGATTATTAGGTTGAATATCAGTTATTCTTTATAATAATTATTATTTAACCTTGTTTAAGGTTATTTAACATAAAGAATAAGATTATTTTAATATCATTAATTCAATCTAAAACCCCTTTTCCAATCTCTTCCCTTACAAAAGAAGACAATATAATTGTATTTTTATAATAATTATTATTAGGAAACCCATATATTTTTTGTTGGGTTAATTAGTATTTTATTTAGATTTCATAATCCCATGTTACTATACGTCACATATTGCTTTGGGATTCTGAATTTGGACAAAATAATTATATCTTGTCCCATTCCACTCTTCTTCTAACGGCTATTTAATTTCTACTGGTTTTTATTTCTTCTTCCCCATCAAAACGACGTCGTTTCAATCAGCTCAATTTTTTTTCAATCATTCGCGAATAATTCAGGTATAATTCGCGAATAATTCACGAATTATACGGATATCCCAAAAATTCGCGAATAATTCGGCACCCATTTAAAAAGTACGTAAATACGCGTATAAAACGCGTATTTACTAACTAGGCAAACAGGTACCTTTTGTTAGTGAAAAGACTAGAATACCCTTTGAGAAATATTAGTCTATTTTTTTAATTACTTTTAGACCCCTTAAGTTTATTAATTCCATCAAATACCCCCAGAAAAAAAGTTTAAAAATTAACAAAAACACCGTCACCCACTCATACTTTCCAAATTCCGGTGGCCACCGCCGGTGGTAGCTGGAATCTATCACAACGGTCTTCGCCACCACCGTAAATGGCTGATAATTCACAGATCTGGCCTTTTCTGGCCAGATCAAAAGGCCAGATCTGGCCGGAAAAGGCTAGATAGGTGAATTATCAGCCATTTTCAGTGGTGGCGTAGACCGTTGTGACAGATTCTGACTACCACTGACGGTGGCCGCCGGAATCTGGCAAGTATGGGTGGGTGGGGGTGTTTTTGTTAAGTTTTAAACTTTTTGGAGGGGTATTTGATGGAATTAATAAACTTAAGGGGTCTAAAAGTAATTAAGAAAATAGACTAGTATTTCTCAAAGGGCATTCTAGTCTTTTCACTAACAGAAGGTACCTGTTTGTCATTTTGAAACCTTTTGGGTACCAATCGGCGTTTCGTCAAACCTTTGGGTAGGTGTGAGTTGTTTCCCCTTTAGTTATAATATCAAACATATTCTGAAATTTTTTTTAACTTGTAAAAAATATTTCCACAATTTAAATACCATATACATTTTTTAATATTAAAAATTATAAAAGAGAAAAAAAAAAAAATCAATTCCCACCCTACCTTTTTGGAGAAACTAACGCTTTGGTCAAATTTCACGATTTTAATTAACTTCCTACCAAACTTTTCAGAAATCCATAAGTTACCCCTAAATTGGTGACGGAGTTAACAGATCTGTTAACTCTTAGTCAATAAATAAAAAGTCGATTATGCCCTTTTTTGTCCTTTTGCAGTCTGACCGAATGTCACTGACAACCTAACTTTATCAAACTTCCATTTGCCACCCTGGTTTCGGAAACACACAACATTACACCATTCTAAATCTCAAAAGTAAAATAAATTTATGAAAAATTAAAAAAAAAAAACTAAAACTAAATAAAAAAATAATTTCTGGAGATTAGACAAAAAACTGACAAATCGGAAAAATTGATTAAAAACTTCCAACAATTGAAAAAAATTCTAAAAATTTGAGCCATTACTTGTAAAAGTTGAAAAAAAATTCGAAATTAAAAAATTTGAATAAAATATTATTTCCAAAAATAGAAAATAAACTGAAAATTGGAGAAAAAATATAAAAAGTAAAATTTTGAAAAAAAAAAAAAAAAAGTCAAAGAAAAAAATTGTTTGACCGGATTCACACCTAGCCTAGTGCGATTCCGGCCAACTCGCACCAAGCCAGGTGCGATCTGGTATGAATCATACATAGTTTGGTGCTATACAAGCTAGTAGGTGCGATTCAAGCTGGAATGCACTAGGCCAAGGTTGTCGGCAACTAGCCAACATTTTTGCCGCTAGGTCTTTTTTTTTTTTTTATAGCTTTTTTTATAATTTCTTTATTTTTAATTTATATTTCCATATGATTTTTTAATTTCAGATTTTTTTTAAGTTTTCAGAATTTAGTTTCTTTTTTAATTATTTTTTTATTTTTCAAAATTTTAGATTTTTAGTTTTCTAATTCTTTGTAACTTTTATAAACTTTTTAGATTTTCTTTTAACATTTTAGATTTTAATTTTAACAGTATTTTATTAAATTTTTCAGATTTGTTAACCTTTAAAAAAAAAAAATTAAAGTTAATAGGCAAATATGGTATTTCATATGTGTAAGAAATACCATAATTGTGAAACCAATGGTGGCAAATACATTTGATAAAGTTAAGATGGTAAAGTAGTATTCAATCAGCCTGGAAAAGGACAGCACAATGGACTTTTACTTCTTTCTCTCTCAAGAGCGATTTGTTAACGGCGTCACTGATTTGAGCTTCTATCATGGATTTTCGAAAAGTTTGTAGGTAAGTTGCTTAATTTCACGAGATTTGGGTGTTTGTCTGAACTTATGAAAATTAGCTTATAAGCGACAAGTGCTTATAAGCTAATTTTAGCTTATAAATATTTAAAATTTTAAACAATTACGTGTTTGGTTAAAGTACTTATAAATGATTGATAAGTAATTAACGTATTTGGAAAAATGTGACTTATAAGTACATTTTATTATAAAATAACTAAAAAATATACTACATTAAATAAATGTATACTATGAAATTTTAAAATTAAATAAAGATAATGTGATAATATACTTGGTCAAACTAGCTTATAATCAGAATGCTTATAAGCAAAAAAAAAAATAATTGCTTATAAGCTCAAAAAAGTTATAAACAAACACGTCAGCTTAATTTTAGAGTTTATAAGCTTAGACAAACACCCTTGGCTTTTCCGAAAAGGTAAGGTGGGTAAATGAATTATAAAATGATATTTTGATAAAGTAATAAAAAATAAAAATAAAAAGCAAACTAATAACCTGTAAACAAGCACATACAAAAACTATTGGACAATAAAACACTCAAATTTCCACGTGTGTCCTACCCAATTTGACACTAAAGCTTTTTCCGCTAGTCTTAACCTCACACAATTATAACACTCTTAAAATAGGACATTCTTCTTTACTCCCAACTCCCATCTTAATATCTTATTCTCACCAAACCTCACTTCTCTTTTCGTCACCAAAGGTCAGCGGATCCTCTCCAGTGTCTCCGGCACGACGCTGTTCTAGGTACGCCTCTCTTTTTTCACCGATTCAATCGCCTTGTTATTACAAAGATTGAAAATTTAGTTGATGGATTCAATTTCTATCTCAATACTTATGCGCTTTCGTTAATTAAACTCTAGTTTAATTTAGTTTCTCGTTTGTTTGGATTCAATGAAGAATTTATTTATCTATTTATTTTTGTTTATGGAATCTCCTTGTTATTAGAATTCTTAATCTCCTTAAGAATTTCACATACTGGGTTGATGGTTTAGTTATTAGGATGATTTATATTGCCTGAGCTTCGTTTTGATTTGAAATTTTGGCAGTTAAATGGGTAATTTGAAATTAAAATAGATAAGTGTTGAGATTTGCTTGAGAAAATTATTTTTTTTTTCTATCATTTGGTTATGTGATATTGGATTCCTTGTGTGTTGGGTTGTCTTCCTTTTGTGTTTTCAACTTTTACAGAAGTATAAATCTGAAGAAGTGTTGATCTATGGCTTCGTTCCGAGCATTCTTGAACAGTCCGGTTGGTCCCAAAACAACTCACTTTTGGGGACCTATTGCAAACTGGGGATTCGTTATTGCAGTATGTTTCTCAACCATTAGATTTTAGATCCTACCATGTATAAAATAGGGTTTACGATAGCCCAGATTTTGAGAGAACTCTTGGTGAGTTATGACAGTCTTATTTATAACTGGGAATTTAACAGGGATTGGTGGACATGAACAAACCTCCGGAAATGATTTCTGGCAACATGACTTCAGGTATAAAAAGTTTGAGTGTTTTTTTTCCCAAGGTATCTAATCCTTGGCTGTGATCTAATTTTCCCATCTGCATTGGTGCTGCAGCAATGTGTGTCTATTCAGCATTGTTCATGAGGTTTGCATGGATGGTACAGCCACGCAATTATCTACTTTTGGCATGCCATGCTTCAAACGAAACTGTGCAGCTCTATCAGCTCTCACGTTGGGCAAGAGCTAATGGGTAAGTAACTATTTCCACAATTATTTTGGACCAGTTAAGGTGCTGGCTGATTTTTTTTGTCACTGTTTGCTAAATTTTCCCATATCTTGTGTTTCTCATCTTTGGTTTATATATGCAATTTCTTGAGAAGAAAAAAATAAAAGAATTTAGGCTGTCTGGATTGCGGCACAACTCTACTTCAGAGTTGATACCTTGAATTGGACCTCAAGCAATTTTTCATTATCATTGGTGTTGTCTATTTATATCAGTAGCATTGATTCCCTTGTTCGTTATCCCCCTTTATCCTCTTGCATTGGTAAATAGAAGCACAAAGCATAACTAAATTTTATGCTCATTTCTTTGTTTCAGATACTTATCGTCAGAGAAGAAGGAGGAAGCCTCAACTCAGTAATTTGATGCAAGCTTCCTTTCCATTTAATTTTTTTTTGTGATTTTTGTTGTTATTTGGGCAGAGTTACTGCTAAGGTTTCATATTTGACAAGATCAAACAATTGGTATTTAATTCTGCTGCTAGTTGAAGCCTAACTCCGCTGATCGATGAGAGCATCATGATTACAGGCACTGCAATCTGAATGTTTTTATCAGAGCTCAAAAGGTGTAACTTAATTGATGTGGAACTGATGGCTTTAAGAAGAAATTAAATGGTAAATGGGTTAAATACCATACTGTGCTTTAGAAATAAAGAGACCAAGGTCTAAACAGTCATTGTAGTGGCATGGTCTTTGTTGTGTATATGATAATAATATTTCAATGATTAAATGAATTTTCTATTCGCCCTCTCGGATTTGGATGTTGGAATTTGGAAATAACAAGTACTGATGTCGAACGATCTAAAGGTGAAAATTAATGTATTGATGGCCGAAATTAAGTGTGGGCGTTAGATTGGCACACCTTGAGCCAATGGAAAAATACAAGTGGAAAGGTCAAATTTTAACTCATTTTTCTGGATAAAATCTCTCAATGCTATTTCGTCTAATTAATACAACAAATTCCCTGTAATTAATGAAAAAACCAAAATCTCCTGTATTCCTAGGACTTCTTTCTCGTAGAAATATCAGAAGCAACTATCAAATAATTAAAGGTCAATCCTGGATTTGATTCTGGCACTCCGCAGAGGCTATAATATTCCAGATGAGTTATTATGCATCATCATCACTTTCAACCTTCACTCTTCTGCTTTTTTTCTTTGATTTTGATTTCTTGCTTTCCGTTTTTTCTTTTGATGACTTCCTTTTACTTTCATTATCTTTTTCTTTAGACGCCTTCTTCCTTTTCACAGGCAATGTTTCTGTCTCGTCTCCTTGGATCTCCTTCATATTATATGTTTCGTCTATGTGGGGATCTGCTGCAGCCTGAGCAACCTCTGTTCACATAAAAGTTTGAAACATGGACCGCTAGTAGTCAGCTAGACTTCAATCAACAATGACTTGGATGTGAAAATAACAGTTCCCACTAATAGATAACTCTATGTACAAGAGATCAATGCCATGCGATAGTTTTGGAATCACCACCACAGGCCATGATGATACGAAAGGAACAGTGAGAACTAACCTTTGTCGGCAAAAGTGGAATCAAAAACCACCTCTGTAAGATGCTGTTTCAAGAAAACCTACACCAAACAATGCAGTTTAGAAAATCAGAACTGCAGATATGTGGCATATTTTAGCAACTCCAATACCCATACTTTGAAACAATTGGCCCATGTAGTTAAACAAAACTGGGGAATTTCATTCATTCTGAGTAGAGTTGCATGCTCCCAACCATTCTAATAGAAATTATCTTGACAAGGAAAAATGTATATAAACTAATAGCATTATAAGTGGGAAAGAATCGACTCATTAAACATTATCATACTAAACAATAATGGCTTCATAAATTCCTAAAAATAAAAATTGCACATAATTTAATGTCAAAAGTTGGTATTTTGGCAAAGAAACAATAAATCAGCAACTATTACGTATTAATGCATAGTATATACTGTTGCCTCTAGCTTCACAGCTGACTTTCATTTTATACTGCTAGAAACCAACATTGGGTAACCAAAAAAAAAAAAGTAATGCATTACTGTTCAATAAGTTGTCAACAACGTAGAGTGTTGACTATTAACTTCAGCACAAAAAATAATACAGGAGCTTTAAACTATTGAATCTCAACAATTCTTCACAACAATAGAATTAAGGAACAAACCGCAGAGAGAAGTTGCCGTGACTTTATATCCCAAATGCGCAAATAGCTGTCCAGACCTACAATAACTCAAACTATTAACTTCAGTTGTTGACAAAATTAAATAATCTTAACTCCAAAATAGTGAACCCAGAGCCAGAATCAAATAGGAGATGAATGATTTGAATCATTGTGCACTTGAACCAAAAAACAACCATGCCAATTCCATATTCCTCTTTTTCTCTTATAAAGAAAGAAAAATATATATGACATAATGCAAAGGAAGTTAAAGAAGGGTTGCTAAGACAGTCCTATATGTTTGAAATGTCATGTCAGACAAATAGTTTCTTTTGTTTTTCCAATTACACAGCATTCCAAAATCCTAACTAAACCATATCAACCCAAGCTCTTCACACCAAGCAAAGCACCTTCATAGGGAGGCAAGTAATTCTACTTACAGAAGGTTGCAGACACATGCAGATAAACATGAGGACAAACACAATATTCATTTACTAAAGCATATACCACAAGAGGAAAGAGATAGACTACAGATCCAAATGTAGAGGAGCATCCAAGTACTCACCACATGATGCTATCACTGGAAGTGTAGGATGCCTAACTATGGATCTGATACTTCCAGAACACTTCCCCACAAAGCATCCTAACAATTTTCCTGTAACGAGTCTTTCATGTCAGCACAAGCAGAGGAAACAAACAGTTTCATTAAAAGAAATCAACTATGCAATGCTGGGTACTAAAAAAGCAGTTTTAATCAAATATTGAGATACCAACTCTAATGTTGGCCATAACACCATGCTAAGGGATTCATTTTACTTGAAATTTGAATCCCGATCAAATGCCAGATTTCTTAATAATAATTCCCTTCAAAATTCAAAAAACTTATACCAGAATATGCGCACAACTAGAATACACAAAGCATTTTTAACCTCTTCCACAAATTAAACCCATTTCACAGAAACTTCAGCTGAACTCCAAGCAGTCAACATATTCTAATCCATGGATGTAGATATCACAGTCCTCAGTCAAATCCCAACTAAAACTTACTATAAGATAATGTTCATAGAAGCACATGTACCTGTGCGTATGTCAACAGAAGCAAGGTCACCAGAACCATTTCCTACGTAGATATTGTAGCTATCTGGTTCTTCAGCTACTGCTTTAATAGGGGTCTCCCGAAAATCAAATGACATAACAGGTCTTCGCTGAGCAGAAGTATCATAGAGGCGGACCTAGAACAGAAACCAGAAAAACAAGTCACAAAGAGGCAAGAAAATAGTGATGATTAGAACCAACCGAGAAAGCAACAGAGAAAATAGGAAAGCTTATTGCTACAGTGAATAGGTCCTTGATTTCTAAGGCACTATATGCTCTTTAAGTTATCAAAAAAGGCCCACAATATATGTGAAACATGGATTAATTTCCACATCTACTGAAGAATCCATTTACAGAAAACAGATTTTAACACATAACTTGAAATTCCCATTTCCGTGAACCCCAATCATAGATGTAACCACATTAATACAGCTGACACAGTATACCCACGAATTACCATGCAAACAAAGAAAATACACGGGCTATCTCTGCAGAACACCATTCACTGCAAGTTTTGGTTATTGCTCATTAACACTGTCCACGAGAATGGCACCTTCTCAGACAAATTACCATGCAAACTAAGTAACAACAGGGACTATTCCTTTATCATTAAAATAAAGAAACAAAGAAAAACAGTGACTACCACTGTAGAACACATTTTATAGGAGTTTCTTAGTTATTGTTCATTAAAGTGGCCCATATGAATGTTACCTTCCAAGTGATCTGAATTCAAATTGATTATTGAAGCATAAATGGGAATAATTTACACAAGAAAGATTACCTGATGGCTATTGGTGCCAGCTACAAATTTTCTGTGATCATCTGCACTTAAAAATGTTGCTGATGTAAACCAAGTAGGAGTAAATATACCAAGACTGTTTTTAGGAGGCTGCAAAATTTTATTAAGATAAAATAAATGTTAGGTCAAATAAAGCTTGAAAAACTATGTAAACATTTATTGTACTTGTTTAAGAATAAGCGGCGAGGAAGGAAGTAATGGCTTACGGATTTCGCAGTCCAAATCTTTGTACACTTGTCAAGATCCCAGAGATTAACTTCAACACCTTTCCTGAGTTTTTTTTTTTTTTTTTTTTAATTAAAAATAAAAAAGTTATCAATTTTTACCATCCTAATGAGCTTGTAATCACTATAATATGCCAATAAAAAATGAAAAAGAACTCTTAAGCATATTGCAAAGTTATTCAACATGAAAGCACTTACCCCCCAAATACAGCATAATTTTCACTCCTATCCACTTTAGAACATAAGATGATACCAGAAGCACATACATTCCAGGATTTGAATGAACTACTAGAGGAAGACTCTTCCGGTAAGTTGCTAATCTCAATGGACCTCATGCTGGCATTTCCTTTCGTTGTACATGTAACCAAAGTACAAAACCTGAGTGTACCCAATTCAATGGAGATCATTAATGCAAACATTGGATACATTACTTATTTGGAAATATATACATTAACAATCACATAACTATGAGAGAGCATAGACTTGAAATGGAAGAAAGGTTGTATTAACATGGAAAACTACAAGTAACAATCACAAGAAGTGGCTCGTCAATTTATATTTGATATTAAAAATTACCTGGATGCTGTCTCTAGTCTCTGTCTTCTGAACAGATGCAAACCAACAACAGCATCATCTTCAGGTCGAGCACCAGCATCACTCACATTAGAAATTGAAACACGGAGATCCCCGTTAAGAGGATTGAGAACTTCAATCTGTAGGGTGCATTTGGCACAAATTAAGCAACAGAAGCTTCATTTCATTTATAACTGTCAGCAAGAACGGATGCTACAAAAATACTCTCAACATTCATAGTCACTATAACTGAAAAGAAACTTACCAAACCACTTTTCCTAGCAACAGCTAACAGCTGCAATAGAAGAAACAAAAATGATTTACAATCTCAAGAAATTTCAGTAAGTGAATGAAACTAAAGCATTGTTGCAAAACTAAGGTTTCACTATCCAACCAAAACAAATAATGGACAAAAATATCATATTGCCAAGACATTAACAGAAGCTCTTAATAGGAAGAGTCCAGCAAGAATACATAACATATTAGAGAAACCAACAAGTAATTGAAATCCAAAAACACAAAAAGCGAAACCAACCGGGTCGTGTTTTGAGTCATCAATAGAAGCCGCAAGCACACATTTGGAGGTGTCAGGCTCCCCCCATCTCTCCACAACGTTGGCAACCCCTCCTTGCTCACCGCGAGCTTCAATAACTGATATGTTCCAATACCCATAAATCAGTATAAGAAATCAATAACATCTACTTATTATTGTTGTTGTTATCAATAGTAATAATAATTACCTTTGATAAGACCAAGGGCATCGAAGGTTAAGGCTCGAAGTGGGGGGCAGCCAGGGCAGTCCACGGTGGTGGTGCGAGGCATCTTTTTTTTTACGCGCAGTTCTCTGATTCTCTCTGAATTCTCTTCAGTCTTAACCTTTCTTTCTCCCTTAAACCCTTGCTCGCTTCTGTCATACACTTTAAAAGAATAATATTTTTTGGTACCCTTGTATTCTAATTAATTTTATTAGTGCCCCAATGTTTTAGCGTTTTTTCTATTCCCCGGCAAAAAATTTGGGCCTGTTTGGTACATTATTTGAAATATGATAGTCTGAAAAACTATGATATTTTCTCACAAAAATTATAGGCTTGTGTGGTACATTATTTGAAATATGATACTCTAAAAAACTATTATGAATAGGATAGGATAGGATTAAAGTAGATAGGATAAGATTAAATCAGATAGGATAAGATTATGAGAATGTATATGGTATAATATCTGAAAATGATATCAAAGTTGGATGAAAATATAGAATAGTTGTTTAGTATATTTTTTAAAAACATTTTCTAAAAAATATTTAGATTATTTTTTAACCTCCTACATTTGTTAATTTAGTTAAACACTCTCCAATAATAAAGTTTATAAATTAACAAAAACACCCCCACCCACCCAAGCCACTACCGGCAACTAGCCACTATCGTCAGACGACGGTCAATGATTGCCAAATGGTGCACGACCGACTGGATCTTGTTGGTCGTGCACCGATCTGGCTTTTTTCAACCAAATCCATCATGGATCTAATTGGAAACGACCAGATCTACGATTAGAATTTGGTCGTCGTTAACAGCCATATCTCTGGCTATATATCTAGCCGTAGAGATCTGATTAGAAACGACTAGATCGATGCACGATCGACCAGATCTGACCGATTGTGCGTCGTTTCGACGCCGACGGTGGTTACTGGAGACCGACAGTGACTTAGGTGGGTGGGGGTGTTTTTGTTAAATTATAAAACTTTTATTATGAAAGATAATTGTTAAATGTTTTGAGTTAAATATAATAGGATAATAGAAAACAAGTCCCACCCATTTTTCCAACTCTAGACAAAAAATCTTATTTGAATCCTATTTGAGTTGGATTAATTTTCAAAATGAAATGACTCAATAACTAAACAAACACATATTTTGTTTTTCAATCCAAATAAGATAATAGAGGTCACTCAAAAAAGTGAAACAAACAGACCCTATAGCTGTCTACACCAATATAATGTTAAGGTTGCATCTGGTTAGGGTTGTAAAAGGATTACTTTGGTAATCTATCTTTTAATCCGGGCATTACTTTGTTTGGTTCAGATGGTCATAAAAGATTTTGATAGTCTTTTCTTCCTCAGGTAATTTAAGAGGTGATGTAAGGGGTTATGTGATTTCTAGCTCAAGAGGTGATATTTTAAGATTACCCTATTTTTGTTCCAATTTTAGTCTACTTAATAAAAATTTTGGACACAAATTCCCTCCTATTGATGTCAATTAACAATTAACTCAACTTGTTGAATGACTTCTTTAACCTCATTAATTACTTATTTGGACAAAAATGCCCTCTTATTGATGTTAAATAAAAAATTAACCCAACTTGTTGAATGACTTCTTTAACCTCATTAATTAATTATTTGGACAAAAATTCCCCTCATTTAACATAAAACTACTCAGCAGCTCACTTGGGAATTTTGTTGAATGGGTAGTGTGCCAGTAAGGGTTGAAAGAAATTGTTCGAAAACCGATCTGAACCGAAACTGGATTGAAAATCAGATTTTTTTGTAAACTGGTTCGGTTTTTTTTTTTGCAAACCGATTCAGCTTTCGATTTAGGGGTATTCCCAAACTAGTTAACTGAAAACCGGTTTTTAAAACTGGTTTTAAGTTAGAAAATCCTAGGTATATAAAGAAAAGGAGTTTGAGAGAGAAAAAAAATTGCATTTAGTTAAACTCCAGATCTAGAGTTTCCATGGCCAATGCCACCCACCAACCATTCACCCAACCCATCAGCGAACCTGTCTCATCGGCGAATGGCGACAACCATGGCTCCACCTCCATGAACACCTAGTAATCCATTGCCGATTCAACAAGGTAAGCTGAAAATATAGGTCTTGGTGGCCATTGCTCCCGAAGAGTTTGCAGTTGAAAATGCACTTCAGTTCTTCAATTCTTCCTTATCATTTTTATACAAATAGTCATTATGGCCGTGCACATTTGTGGATAAGAGTCACTTATCAAACATCTTGTCTTCGTTTTCTTCAAATTGAAAATGGGGTGGGTTCATGTATGTAGTTGGCTTTAGTAAACTTCAGTTATGATTGCTATAGTTGGTCCATGTTTCCATTTATCTTCTCATTGGTTTATGTTTGCTCTAAGTTGATTTAAAAGTTAAGTTTTACTGATATCTGCATCGCACTTTGGCATTCAAAATCATTCTTAGATCTTGAGAAGGTTATAGTATGTAATAGATGTCTGAATTTGGTGACTAAAATGTAAAAAATGTTGAATTTAGGGTTGAATTTGAAATCCAGTTTGAAAACCGATTAACCGAACTGAATATTCGGTTCGGTTTGAATTCAGTTTATACCGTAAACCAGTCTGGTTTCGGTTTAGCTTTTTGCCAAAACCGAATAATTGGTTTCATTTTCGGTTTACCCAATCCGGTTCGGTTAACCAGATTATCCTAACCCTAGTGCCAGAAGCTGGAAAAAAATAAATTCATTAAATCCCTAACTCGTCCAAAACCCAAAAATCAACAAATAACACTCAATCAAACTCGAAACATAACCCTAACACTCAATTTCCAACCAAAGAGCAAACAACCTCCAAAAACACAAAAGAAACGCCCAAATCGCAAAGAGAAAACTCGGTTGGCGAATAGTGAGTGCTCCAGTTGTAGGTATAGAGGGGTTTTAATCTGTGGAAACCGGTGGTTGCAACGGTGGTGGCCGATTAGATTTTCATTGTCGAAATTGGCCAAAATCCGATAAAGAACAACGAAACACTAGAACGGTTGAAGGCAGCGATCAATGGAAGCAAAATGATGGGGCGCAGAGGGGTTTAAAATGGGAATAAGTCGGGGTGATGATAGTGGCGATGACGAGGTCCAACATGATCATATTTCAGCCAAATCAGGCCGGGATTGATGAAGATCGCGAATGGGGTTGGTTGACGAAAAACGCAAAAATTTAGTCAAGTACGAGCAAAAAGTTATCTATTTCACTGATAATCTTATATTTTTAGCAATAAAATATTGTCAGAACCAAATATACCCTAAGAGAATGTTTGTTATTATTACATCTTACATTTGGAGGTCAATGTCTTTAACTCTAGAATGGGTTAAATGGTTGTATTAAGTTAAAACTGTCCTCCGTATAACCACTAAAAATACCCTCTAAAAATACCCTCGTATTAAAACAAGCATTTAATTTCCTACATAGAATAAAGGATAAAAATTATTTTAGATGATAATTTCAATTAATTAAGAGTAATGCTACACTTACAAAGAAATCTTACAAAGATTTCCATACAAAGTTATGTGGCAAAAAATGAATGGAAAAGTGAATATAATAAGTTTGACTTTTTGTTTTACTCTTCCATTTATTTTTTATCACCTTATTTTGTATACAAATCTTTGTAAAGTTTATTTGTAAGCATAGTATTATTGATTAATTAATGCAGAGAAGAAAAGTATCAGTAATTATTTTGGATTTAAGAGAAAATAATATTACAATATCTGAATTGGAATTCTATAAGGTTTTAGGTTTTATGTTGATTTAATCAATTAAATAATTTGTGTTATGCCTAAAAAGTATAAGGGCTGACGTCAGGTCCATTCAGCCCACAAGAGTCAGATCATTGGAACAACCACCGTCTGCTTCCGTTAGGATAGTGGGTGTGCGTCAGGCTAATCAGGAGCTGTGGTGCTCCCACGTGTCCAATCCCTGCTCTAAATCGCGCAAATCACTCTGGAAGGTGGGCAATGTGACATAAAGAGGGATTTGCACGGATAATCCCACCAACTTTCAGATTCAGTGATCATTACCTCAATGCAACCCAATATAAATTGGGAGCTCCTCTCTCATTAAAGGGGGATTTTTCTGGCACATTCTACGCTTGATTAATTATTCTCTCTTTCCCTAGAATTCTTAGCATTCAATACCTTGTAATATCATTGTAAAGTCAGTCAGCGAAAAGCGACCTGACCCTGATCATCAATATAAACATCAGTGGACGTAGGATTTGCTACCTTAGCATCCGAACCACTTTAAAAATTGCCCCCATTGTATTTGCTATCTCATTATCCATCACTTTCACGTGTGTCTTCTAGGTCAGCCCAGCATTTCTCCCGTGCGTGTCGTTGGTGTAAAAATCACGCATCAACAGTTTGGCGCTAGACGGAGGGCCCAGATTTAGTGTTCATCCTTTATCAGGAGAATCTCCAACTTACCGGTCCTACAGCAACAAATGGCCCACCAACTAGAACATGAACAAACCAACCAGGGCACTAAGGGGCTCCCCCAAGTTCAGAGGGACACTTCTTCCAAAAAACCTTCAGCCCCGCAAAATGTTGCGAGAGATATCCCGTCAAATTCACAGCTTGACCCCGCCATAAAAAGCTACCTGGAAAGGTTTGACAACACTCTCCAGACGGTCAACCAAAGGTTAGACCGTTTGGACCAAGGCGCGCCATCTAAGTCAGCTGCGGCAGTGCAACTGCCAAAAACGCCTGCAGGTTGCGCGAAAGCGCGGCAAAGGGAAATAGCCCGTGTCGCGAGCACTGCAGCGCGTAGACGAAAGGGGAAGCAAGTGGCAAAAAGCAAGCCCACGGGCTCCAAAGGGCCAGCAAACACCGACCGCGTCCCAAACCGAATACCAGTCTCTTTGAGACTCGGTGAAAAGACGCAGCCCGAGCTATCCCATGCCACGTCGCAGGTACACACCCACAAAAGTGTTGGGCGGGGTGATTCTTATCACCGCCAGCAAAGCAATCCTGATCGTCACCGTGCGAGGGGGTCCCACGCTTCGCGGGGCGGTTCTTACCACCGCAAAGGTCATGAAAATACCCCTCACCTTTCATCGTCATCACACGCCTCTAGTCAGCGTGTGTCGAGAATGGCTGGAAT